ACATGGTACTTTGGAAACTAGGCTGCTTTTGGAAGCTTTGGAAACTTGGCTTCTACCCTTTTCGTGTTAGATAGTATGGGAGAACTTGCAGATTTCTTTGTGAACATTTGCAAATTCCCAAAGCAATTGATATGCAATATAGAAAGTATACTGGTTTAAAGTAGGTATTAGGTACCAGTTTAAAGTACTAATTTTGTACTACTTTACACATTTGTTTTACATCAAATTATTTTTCTTTATTGTTTTCTTTAAAATAATGTGATATTTAATGTCTGGACTACATTTGAATCTAAAATACTTTTTAGGGTAAACAACGAGTAGTGTGGACATACATGGTCGCCTCTTAGCTGTAATCCATATTTTTGATATCAGTTGCTATATGTCCCTGTTATTCCAGAACAAATACATTTTCGGAAAACGTCATAGCAGGAAATTGTTGCAAAGTTCAACTCTGTGAACTCTGTATTAGGTTTTTAAGGCGATATCTAGGCATCTAAAGGAAGGTGCCCTTATTTTCCAAGGTTTTTGTTCTTACAGCTCCTACTGACTGTTAATTGTAGCTAGCTGTTAATTATTGTTAATTGTAGTTGCTCAATGTATGCTTTTTTAGATGTCTAGATTCACTTTCAGTGACTTAGGGCAATTTGGTTTTAAAGTGTTGGGCTCTGAGGCAAATTCTAATGTTTTCTATTAGGGAATTTTTGCTCAGTGCTGTAAAAATTGTTTAAGCTGGGTTCCCAAAGTTGGAAACAAAGATAATCAGGGTACGTGAGCCACGTCACTTCTTCACACATCATTCAAGTTAGAATAACTGCTGTCATTTATATGCATTCAATTAATGTGCAGTACTGCAGCAGTTATTACGCAGTTCATCAAGCGTGTATAATTAGCCGAGCAACTTTCACTTCCTATCACCCAGACGCTGATTCACAAAGTCATAAATAAAGATGCAGATCTCCGTCATTGTTCTCAGAAAGCACCTTTTCCTATGAGAGAATATTAAAAAAAAAATCAGAAAAATAGCAAAAATAAAGGGAGGGAGATCCCAGTAGAAGAGAAAGTCATGTTTATTGTCCTGTGAGCCTGAAGGAGAATAGAGTTATTTGAAATTCAGTAGGTACCTTTCCAGTTAAATTCATTGCACACACAGCACAATAAAAAGCAGCAGAAGCCTACCTTTTCCCATTGACAAGTGCAGAGAACTCCTGAATACCTTCAGCCTGGGCAGCTGGCATGGCTGTAGTAATCTCCGTTCTCTGAGTAACTCATGCTCTACTCACCTGTGTATAACCCAAGATTATCCTTGGCTTGGATTGCCCCCATACCTAGTAGTGAAAGGAATCGTGTTGTAGAACAAAGTTGCAATAGAGTCACAGCATCTTAGCAGCCACAGCAGCTTGGAAATAGCATTGGTTTTGTATGAGAAAGAAGAAAGGCCCCCTCTTTTGATGGGTTTTTAGGTTGCAGTCATTTCATTACATTTAGTGATGAAAATTACTGGAAAGAGAACATATGAAAATAAGAGGCTGATTTTTACACCATCTTTTTAATTAATAAAGGATATATAAATTCAAAGGGACTGAACCAACAACTGTATGCTAGCGTATATATTGTTTGATTCTTTCTTATTACATGAAATAGACTGAATTAGATAAATAAATTAGTATCTATACTTAATTGTCAGCTGAGGGACATGAGAAAATTCAAAAGTCTGAAGAACAGGGAGTAATCTGATCAAGGTGGACGCAGAAATGAAAGGAAGTCTACCCACGAGTCATGCTAGAGACTGTAACGAGCATTATAACGATGACCTCCTGTTGGTGGGATTTGGATGTGCACACTGCAGAGGCTACAAAATGATAGGCTGGAGCTGGGTGAAAAGGAATGAGACAATATAGCGTGCTTTTTGCTAAATATGGATGCCTATATATCAGCATACATCATCTTCAATCTACTGATTCAGTAGATAAAGATCATCTGTTTTCATGTCTTTTCCTTCAGGTACGTGAAGGTCAGAGGTTACTAATTCCGTTGTGGGTACGCATTCAAGCAGAAACCTCTCTGTTTGCTAGGGCTGGTTTTAGAAAATCTGTGTGAAGGCATCTAATAAATTGTGTGTTGGTTTTTTTGAGGCTAGACTCCATAATTCTAAATTTTAACAGAACCTAGGTTATATTGTAGGTAACACCATTGTACTGACTGATACTAATTATATTGTTGGTTATGTGGTGTTTTCTGAATTTCCTGACAAACTTTTACGCCTTTTCTAGGGAATACCTGAATAGTTTTGGACTCTGTTTGGTATTTCAGGTCTCTATTTTACTTTATAGTCAAAGCACAAATATTTAACTTGTCATCCAGAATGACAGGGTAACTTCTTATCTCTTAGGAGGACTGTACATCCTGCTTTAGCTGCATGCCTGTGTTTTTTTAATACTCTATATTAATTTCTTTGTGTTGCAACAGTTTGCACCATGAATTTCCTACTTTAATGACAACTACATAAAGAAAATTTGAAAATGATCACTAATATGACCACTAAAAGAAACGCCAGGTATTTCATGTTCTGCGCTTGCGTTGATAGTATGCTCTTTCTTATGAACCTGTACTGAAGCCTTCATATTGCCTGAAGATATCTGAATGTGAAAATGTGGAGGTGTAGTTTTTGTAGAGAATATGATATATACTCAGTGTCATGGAACTAGACACATGCAGTTTTGGATGCATTAGCAGTTGTAGGAAAATTGGGAGTAGAATAAGGAAAGTAATCACTCGATCCTTGCTTTTAAGTTTAGGAATTATCAGCGGCTAAGAGATCGCCCAACATCAGTGACTTCTTCATCTGCAGATTCTGTTTCTTATTCTCGTCGGTGCAGTGAATAAATTTTAAATGCAAAGAATCATGATCTGAACTACCTCATTTAAGGGTGTAGGATTAGACAGCTCTATTAATATTTATGCCTCCTAATGGGCTACTTGATTTTCAGAGCAAAGCTCCGAACACCATACTTTCTGGGTTATGGCTGTGGTTACTATGGATGCATAGGAACATATATATACACATACAAATACATTCTTGGAAATGAAGCACAAATCACAGTGCTATAATCTCATCCTGCTTTGATCATTCATTGTTTTCAATAGAGAATACGTTACATCAGTTGTGATTCATAAATGACGCTGATAACTTTAAGGCTTTTAAGCTTAGCAATATGAAATGTTTTTTACAAATCTAAGCAGAAATGAAAAGAGCCCAGTTTACCCTGTTACCCTGTGTTTCTGTTGGGTGTTTGTTCCAATACTCCATTTAACTACCCTAGAGCTGTTTACTTGTCATCAAATCTTGGAAAAGAGGAATTAATGCAACATGTGGGGTTCCTATGGACTTCATTAAATGACCTTCTTTCTGTATACCTGTTTCAGCTCTGCAATCAACCAGAAAAGGACAAGCTGAGACCTGTTAAAATGTGTATTTCCACTGGCAAACTTTGTCAATCTGTTATCAGATTCTTTTTTTCTAAATATGTAATGTAGAAAATCATATCAAACTAACAGACTTGTAGATGGTGTATTGTCAAAAATGTTTGAAATATTCTTTCTCCGTGGCCATATAAATGAAAAGTATGAAATCCAAGGCATGAGCCTCCATCACTGTAGACTGAGCTATGTCAAAATACGTTGCATTGCCAGTCGGCTACAAAGATGCATTTGCAGACCATTACCAGGGCTCGTGGTGACTTGAGACTGAGCGTCAAAGCCCACAGAGCTACCTTAGCGTGTATTTTGGTGTATGCCACCATTACAAAGGGTGTATATCTTCAGTAGGCCGCTTTGAAAATTCATTATGAATTATTTGCCTGTAGTATGTTTGTGTCGGTAGTTGCCTGTGCACATTTGAAGTTTTGCCCCCATTCACCCTTGCTGGCTCCTGGCTGAAGAGCTCTTATCCTCATTCTGGCCTCGTGAGGCCAAAATTCATCCCCGCGGTACCAGCAGGCACAAATGTAGTCCATAATCCTGAACTCCAGTGCTATGCACTAGGACACCAAGATTGTTCTATTTTTCTATTCCTTTTTGAAGCACTGTATTCCTGCTTTTCATTCCTCAGATACCACTGCAGCATTTCGTGTTATACTAGTAATACATGGGAGAAGATAATGAAGCAAACGTTGTCTTGTACAGACCTTTTCATCCTTTCACAATCTAAAGCTGTTAGTGTCAGTTAGCAGCATTTTTCAAAGGTGTGCAGGAAGTTTATGTCATATTTGAAATAAAATAAAATGCTTAAACTCTGATGTACTTTCTACAGTCCTCTTTCTGGGTGAGCCA